GTTGTTGCTGTTGCTGTTGCTGTTGTTGTTGTTCTTCTTCTTCTTCTTCTCCTTCTTCTTCTTCTTCTTCTTCTTCTTCTTCTTATTATTATTATTATTATTATTATTATTATTCTGCGTGTCCCTTCTTTTCTTAGCACGTACGTTACGGCCTGTCAATTATTTGTAAATAATGAACTATTCTGTTTTGATGTCGTGGAAAGACGGAAAAGACATATCAGGGACGTTTCTTGGTTTCAGTGAGAAAGAAAGAAAGAAAAAAGAAAGAAAGAAGGAAACGTCCTGTCAATACCTTATAAATAATGGGCTGTTCTGTTTTGATCCCGAGGAAAGACAGAAAAGACATATCAGAGATGCTGTTTGATTTCAGTGAGAAAAAAAAAGGAAATACAATTCAAACGAAAAAGCCGTAAAATTTTCATAGCATTTTCTACTACTACTACTACTACTACTACTACTTATTATTATTATTATTATTATTATTATTATTATTATAGAGTGCAAAACAACAGCAATAACAACAAAATAAGAATCTTGAAATATCCGTCATGACACCCGCATGCATCGCAGCCAAGTATGCACGATATGGCGGCAAGTTTTTAATGAAAACAGTAAATAACTTTGCAGGTGGGGATGAGTTAGAAATACCCAGTCCGATCAGACGGTGTTCCCAAGTATCTTGATGTAACTCCAAAATCGCCTTGGCTGAATCATTTCTCAAATTTAAAAGATTGTCCAACTCTTTCAACACACGTCCATAATTTTCGCACACTACACCTGTTCATAAACAGAGATACACAATTCGTCAATCCATAGGAGACATGTGCAACTTGTAAAGGTCGGTCGAATGATAAGCAAGTCTGTGTTCATTATTATTATTATTATTATTATTATTATTATATACCATAAGTAGTTTCGTTTTATAGAACATTAAAGTTTATTTCATGTACACATCTAAAGGGTAAGGCTCAGCATTTTCCTGTCCAGAACGACAGATACTATTCTCCATGAGAGTGAATCGTTGTGGTTTCTCGGGCTAACATTCTCGGCTCACATAGAGTGGTAAGATTATAGTAAATCCATTGCTAGATTTACTTCCAGCAAAGTTGGATCACTGTGTCGTGTTAAACAATTTCTCTTTCCTGAAATTATCTTACATATTTATAAGTCTTCGTTCATGCTTTGAATATTGGTCCAGTATATGGTCCGGTGCTCCTGATATAAAGGGTGTTCCAATAAATTGGACTGATTTTAAAAGTGAATTAAGTTTAAGCGTCCAATGCTTTTTTTCTTTTTCTTTCAGATTTGGCGGACATTTGGGCGATATTATTTTGCACGCATAATTGTCACGACTTAAATAACATGATCCAATAAAGAAGTAAAGAAATTTTCACCAATAACACTTATTTATTTACTGCTGACTTTGATCCGTCTTAATGAAACACCCTTATATATAATCTGTCTTAATGAAACACCCTTTATTTAGTGATTCTTGATAAAATCCAAAGAAGAATCAGCAGTATTATTGGCCTTGACCTGGCATCTCGGCTTCAGTTACTTCCCTACCGTTGTAATGTAGCTCCCCTGGGCTTTTACTATAAGTAATTTCATGTTAATTGTTCGGATGAATTCTTTGCTATGGTATGAATTTAAGAATTTAAGCGCAATAATAGATTGGTGTCAAGGTATCATCGTATGTGTAACCGTAAGTTCTATGCTAACAGTTTCTTCTCTCGCACTTCTTTCTTGTGGAACTCCCTTCTGGCTCCAGGCTTTCCAGCCAACTTTAATCTTCAAAAAGTTAAATGCAATTTCAATCGTTATCTCCTGTTTCTTGATTATACTTTTGTTCTCGCTCATTAGTAATGTTTCTGTTTCTAATTTTAAGATGAATTCCGAAAAGAAGAAGAAGAAGAAGAAGATAAAGAAAAAGAAGACATTCATATTATTATTTCTGTTTCATTTCGTGCTCAACGCTCGTGGCCTTGTATCAGACATATTTAAGCTATATATACACCTATTAGATCTTAGTTATGAATAAAAGCCAAAAAGAATGGTATTAGATTCTTTCAAACTCATCGTCTGCAAGAATCATTTTTATCTGCTCCAAGAATGGTCAGTCAGACGATGGCATCTCTTGAAATTCAAATTTCCTTTCTTAATGGATAAAAGTTGTGGTTGCAGACTGTTTTATTTTGTTGGATGTAAATAGTATTTAAGCGTTTGCATATTGTAAGATTTTAATTGGAATAATACCGATCGTTTTTATCAATAATGGTACATTACGCTATCTATCTATCTATCTATCTATCTATCTATCTATCTAGCTATCTATCTATCTATCTATCTATCTATCATATTGATATAATGGAATATGCATACACCTGAGTTCCCCTTCACTGGAATATGATTGGCTGGTGTCCGTCATAAATACAGACGGACGTGTAGATACGACAGAGTTTAAGTCTTTGACGTCACCCATTGGACTACGCCGTTGGCTATTCTATTGGTCTACACCTATTACCTGCGACTACGACGAGTACCAGTCGATTACTGCTACCGTGTACTATTTGGTTACAGTAGCCAAAACCACTTAGCTACTTCGATCAAATATATCCCTTTCTGGGAGATATCACATATGATGTTCATTCCTTAGTTCCACTAGTTATAAATAAATAAGAATTTGGATAATAAAAATACCATCCCACAAAAGACAAGTTTTTAAAAAGATTTTTAATAAGGATAAATATTGAATCTGAGGCGAGTGAAACCTTCTAAAGAGTGGAATGAAGAATTACAAAACACTTCCTCTCTCTCTCTCTCTCTCTCTCTCTCTCTCTCTCTCTATATATATATATATATATATATATATATATATATATATATATAATTAAATAGGGTAGACAAGGAAGATTTAATTAGCTTTTTATTTATTTTTCCAGCATCCTTACGTTTTTCCGTCTTGTAGGAGTAAGTAAGTACAGAAACTTTCCATAATTTTCATCGTCCCAAGCGCTTTTGGCTAGTTCTTTAGCCATTTTCGAGAGGGGTTTAGTTTGGGGCTTGTTAGCTTTTCCTCTTGTTAAAGTTCATCAGAGGACGAAACATGTCCGCTAAGATAAGTTTTCCTTTTGTGTTTATTCTTATTGTCTTTTTAAGGATATATATTTCAGCTACAAGTGTCTTCTCAAGTGATGGTTACGTGACAAGACACCAGAATGTTAGAATTTTATATTAATATTCGCTCTACTCTGTATTGAGCACTTTTTAAAAAATAGTGATTTTGGTTACTGGAAATTTATTTCATTTATACCAACCTTGTATTTGTATATATATCGTCGTCGTCGGCATCTATCCATCGAGAGACGATGGAGTAGCGCGGATATATATATATATATATATATATATATATATATATATATATATCCTGAAAATAATACCACCGTTGGTTGATTATTAACATTTTTATTAACAAAACATTAATCAGGCATTATCTATCTCTCTCTCTCTCTCTCTCTCTCTCTCTCTCTATCTATCTATCTATCTAACTTAGTCTGTCCTTATATCTAAGAATGTTCATATCTATCTATCTATCTATCTATCTATCTATCTATCTATCTATCTATCTATCTATCTATCTATTCCTCTTTTAGCCCCCGTCATCTGTTAGTCGTCCGAATTCTAATACATATTAAATTATCTTTGTCTTGCAGGATTCTTTCTTTTGACGAATGTAAGAATCCAACAAAGGAATTAAACGAATGTACCTATTCACAGTCACGCATCGTCTGCTTTCTCCATTCCACTGTGCCGGTTTTTCCTTTTAGAGTATTGCACAGAAGCCCCAAATATGCATATCTTGAAGACTCCATCAGTTTTTGATGTATGTCTGCGTTGATTAAGATGGCGTTGCGCGAGCAGTTATATCGTCGCCCATTCGATTTTCACTTTCTTCATCACTTTGAGAAGTGTCTGTGCAACACAAACATTAGCAATTCTTTAAGTTTGGACTTCTTCTTTTACTCATCCGTGCATAACTTAGAGTGAGGTGTGTGATATTTTCCTGTTTAACCATCACTGTTCTCATTATTATATATTATATCTGCCACTTAACGTTGTTTAAACAATGATTGGAACACTCGTGAATAGAATCTTTATATTACCAGCATTGTATATAATATATTTGCCTAAAAGCGAATAATCTTCTTCTTCTTCTTCTTCTTCTCATTATTATTATTATTATTATTATTATTATTTGTGTATGTTATATTTCCTGCATTGTATCCTGTAGAACTGGGTCCAAACTATGGTCTTTAGACCCTATAGGAGAATTATCATTTAATTGATGGCACTTTTCTTAGTATATGGGATGTTCCTAGTAGGGCAATCTTCTGAGCAACTAGTATGTTGATGTTACCTGGTACACTGTTAGTAAAAATTCCTTTTCTCACGAGGCCCAGAGCTTCGATTACTATTGATACAGTCTCAGTCTCAGTCTTCATTCCCCACATCCTGTTAATCTCGATCTCCAGGTCCTTGTATTTGGACAATTTCTCGATAATTTTCATGAAGGTGTTATTAATATTATTATTATTATTATTGAGACATATGATACTATTTACTGGTAAGAAATTTATTTTCAGGTCAGTAATCGTAATTTAAAGAAAATAATTTTCTTTTCATCGACAGGCAGTGTCCAATATTATTCCAAAGTATCTTTACTGTACCGAGCAGTCAAACTTTCCGCTGCTTTTGTTTAGCGGCATATCGACTTTCATGGGTCATTTAATGCCGAAATCTAAATATTTTGTACGCAATTTTTTCATTTTATTATTTTTTTATAGAAATAATAATGGTTTAGTAATACAAGTCTTACTAATTAACCCATAGCTGGAGAGAGAAGAGATGGATTCATAGCTTTTCCAAAAGTATTTGAGCGAAAGTGAATGTAACGAACCCAACGGGAAATGAAACCCGAGTCATTATCCATTACACCAACCCACATCTGGTATTCTCAAGTGGTCACCCATTTAGCTACTGACTAGGCTCGATGCTGCTTAACTTCGGTGATCGTACGGGTACCGGTGTTTGAACGTGATATGGTCGCAAGCTGGAAACCTTTCGTAATGGTTCTATTTCCAAATCAAAATGCAATTTGTTCAAGATTTTGTCCATGCTTTTTTGTACAACATCCCAGTGCTCCAATGATAACAGGTACTCTATGTTCATTCATGCAACACCGACTGAACGAGATACCTTTCCTATTAGCTGCAATTCCACTGATTCTGTTATTTGATTGATGTGTCTTTCACATTGCACTCAGTAATGAAGTGTGTTTTAAGGTTAGCTACCAACCAGTTGTTCTTTTTCCAGATATTTTTCAATGTGCCAGACTTGGTTGAATTTCTTCCTATCTTCCGTTATCGTTGTCTCTAACAGCATGTACACGTATGTGTGCAGATATATGCACATACGGGTGGTGTAATAGATAATGATTCGGGAGTTGCAGTTCCCGTTCGGTTCATTATATTCATTTATGCGCAAATATCCTTGGAAAAGGAATGAATCCACCTCTTATTCCCCCAGGTACGGGTTAATTATTAACGTGTATCACTGTATCATTATCATCTTTAAAAAAATATGACAGCCTAAAAATATATTCCGGTTTTAAAGCGTAAGTTAATTTAACGAACCCAACAGGAAATGAAACCCGGCTCTCCGATTGAGTCATTATCTATTACACCACTCGCACATCCAAGCTTACAGCATCTGGTATTCTCAAGTGGTCACCCATCGAGCAAACTGACTTGGCTCGACGCTGCAAAGGGTTGTTAAGCAATATAAAATTTAATTGTTACCGGAATGTATGTTCGCACGATATACAATATTATCAGTCATACATTGATCTTTCATGGGACAGATCATATTTTTTCGGTAGTTGCATTTATTTTAGAAAAAAATTACATTACTTACTCTTTGTTGAAAATATATTTGTTTAATATAATGTTATCTTGGGATCTAGATTTGTCTATGTTAACATAGCTATAACAGATCTTTACATTAATTTTGTTCAAATTTTTCTGTGGTTGTTGAATGGTTATCGTGCTTATTTAATTTAATTTAAGAAAATTCTTCCGATATTAGTTTGAACAAATATATATATATATATATATATATATATATATATATATATATATATATAAGCGGTTCCATGGAGAGTTATTTGTGACTTTAGGTTTCACGCTTTCGCGATCTTCAGACAAACTGGTTTATTTTTTTCAAAAGTGGATCTATTTATCCTTCATTTGTGTTTGATTATTTGTGTACGGCGGTTCGAGGGGAAAATTTATTTTCTTCTGTGTTTGTTTGGGATGACACTCCATATACATAGACACACATACATGCAGGCGTACACATCTTAGTTCAGACATACACGCCCATATTCATAATCTTGTGTTAGGCGCAGTTGCACATTCATATGTTCGACCACATGTATGTACGCAATTTTCATTCTGTCTATTTCGGTGTCAAGATTGTAGTGTTTCATATGTAGCAATGTTCTCATAGTAGGGAACAGCTGGGGACGTCTCTGACGTTTTTCAGGTCGGCTCTTTGCGCCGACAGACATGTTCACATGCACTCACACATACATATGTAGACGCACACCCAAGGTACCTCGTAAGGTACCTCGTAAGTTACTTGTAATGGTTAGCAAGCTTGTCTCGCTAGAACAATTACGACTGAGTAGTGAGTTCAATCCTCACTGGGTGCCTCTTACTTTCGGCCTTGTGCCACATGCAAGCTACGCTTGGAAAATCGCTATGTAGACTCACACCTACACTTATTGATTGCGTGTTAAGTTGGGTTATGTCTGTAGATATGGCGATGGTGTTTGTATTTTTTTAACAACAACTGCAGCTGTGTTATTAAATATTGTAATTATGTTAATGGTAATATTAGCTGTGGTATTGTTATTGATAATAATTGAAATGTTATTAGTTATGATGAACGGTAAAGTTATCCTTAATAATGATGGAAACAATAATAATAATAATAACAACAACAATAATAATAATAGAGATAACAGGATATAAAATAGATAATGATAAATAATAAATAAATAAAACATAAATAAAATAATAGAAAGATAATAATGACAATGTTAATAATAATAATAATAATGACAATGATAAAACTACTAATTGTGGTAGTAATGCTTATAAGGTAATAGTTCTAAAAGTGGAAACAACAATACTAATAGTTATAGTAACAATAGTCGTCACAAAATAATAATTTTGGAGTGTTAATGGTTATATCTGTCCTGATGGCCATGTTGATTGTTATGGCGGTGGTTGTGTTTGTAGGCGTGGTGGTAGTGTCGGTAATAGTGCAGACAGTGTTATTGTTTCCTGTTGGTGGTTATGTTTTGGTGGTTTTAGTGTTCTAGTGGTTTAGTGTTCAACCATTTTTTCGGTAGGTTCATTCCCATTTGTGCGTAGTTTTTCTTGTTGGTGTTATCCGTCTGGTTCGAACTGTGAGGGTAGATATTTGTTTTCGTGTCTGCATTTTGAGATGATTTCCGACATTTGATTTAGTAATGTTTTTTGTTGTTTGTGTGTGATTATTGCCACTTTTTCTTGCAGACAAAGTAGACATCTCTTTGATATGATGTTGTAGGCAGGTGCATGTTTCATAATTTCTCAGGTTATGTTTGGTGTTATGTTTTTGTATTTTAGTTGTCATATGTATGTGGATGGTGTGGTGCTGTTGGAGTATTTTCTGTTGGAGAATGAGAAGTCGTGTGTGTTTTTTCTTTGTTTGAATGTTCCTTCTATGGCACCAATGTAGTGCATTGTGGTGTTGTTTGTGTTAACCTTAGCTTTGTATATTATGCCTGTCTGTAAGCAGTTTCTTTGAAGTGACCATGGGGTCTTTGCGTTATTGTAGTGGTGGGGGTTGTGGCTTTTTATTATAGTGTTATGTTCTTAGTGCACCTGTAGCTAACTTTTACATTGTTTTTGTTAAATATTTTTGCTCGGGGGCTTGTTACGGAGAAGTGTTTTTTTCTATTAGATTTAGGAATATTCTGCCATGTTTTTTTCTGACGGTTTTATTGTATGGTGGGTTAAACCAAATTATATTTCTTTTTCTGTTTAACTGTTTTGATTGTGGTGCCGTGTATTGTAGCTGTTGTATATGTACGCTTTTCTGTAGTGCATGTTATATGTTTTTTTTTGTCGTTGAAAATGTCTATATTGGATGAGATGTCTGATACCTTGCGGGAGATGGATTGAGGTATGTACTTGATAATAGATAGTGGTTGGTTGGAGGTTGTGTGTATGCATGTGAGAGTGTCATTATCTTTTTTGCATGATTAGTAGTTTCTTTATCTGGGTTGAGAGTGGCGTCTAGGAAGTCTACTGTTCTTGTGTTTGTTTTCATTTCTATTTTGAATCCAATTATTTTTAGAGCGTTTATTATTTTTTCTGTATTATTTTATTTCTCTATATTATTTTATCTATCTATTTTAAGACTATTGGGATCTCTTATTAGGAATAGGCCGTCGTCTCTGTATAGGCCAATGTGTTTTTGTCTAGTATACTGACTAGGCATGAAAGAATAAGTTTGCCTATTAGTTCGCAACACAAGCTCCGTCATAACTTCCCATTGTTACATCCGACAGGTTGGTTCGTTGTTTTGGAATAGCAGAGATTTCCGGCCGATTATTTTTATCTCATTATCCATGATGTGTACATGCTGTTTTGTTAGTTGTATTGTTTCGTTCAATATGTTTTCTGTGATGGAGGATTAGAAGTTTGTTATATCGAATTGGATGACGGTTACTTTGCTTTTGTTCTGTATTCCGGCGAATTAGTTGTTAACGGCTCTGGTGTTTTTCTATTGGTTTAGTGTTAGAGTTTTCCTTAATTTCCTGTTGATTTTTTTCCTGTTTTTGCTGATTTTTTTGGATTCGTTTTTTGCTGGGTTGATTAGGCGAATGTAAGGATTGCTTCAAAGTTTGGTTTGTGGTCCTTTGCTATTATGAACGCTTGTTGTTCAGCTATGCGGTTTATCCTTTAGTCTATTTTCAGTTTAGCGGCTATGTCCTTGGCTTCCTGATTTATGTCGTTTTTATGCTTTCAGTTGTCTTTTTTGTATAATTGCGTGATGTTGTTGGTTATAAGGTTTTTATGGACCGTAGATTCTATCGTATATATGTTTGTAGTTTTGTTTGCAAATATAAATACTTTGTTGGAGTTTTGTATTTTTTCGTATCTTTGTAATTTTTTTCCGGAAAATATCAAAATGGCTTTTGAATTTTATGTTTAATTGTTTTAATTTTAATTGTTTTAATTTTAATAGTTTTAATTTTACTTGTTTTAATTGTTTAATTTGTTGTAATTGTTAATGTTTTATCGTTAAATTTTATGTTTAATTTAATATTTATTTGTTAATGTGCAACTGCGCCTAACACAAGATTATGAATATGGGTGTGTATGTATGAACTAACATGTATACGCCTGTACGTATGTGTGTCTATATATATGTGAGAAGAAATTTTCTCCCACCCCCTCACACAGCCACACACAAATAATCAAACACAAAAAGCATAAATAGACCCATTTTAAAAAAATATAAATCAGTTTGTTTGAAGATTGCGAAAACGTGAAACGTAGTTCACAAACAACACTCCATGTAATCGCATATGTTAAATCTTTCCAATAATACCACACACACACACGCGCACACACACACACACACACACACACACACACACACACACACACACACACACACACATATATATATATATATATATACGTGTGTGTGTATATGTGCGTGTGTGTGTGTCTGTGGCGAACGTTCTAGTTACTCGGCCACGTGTGCACACATTAATTTAAACTTTGTTCTATCAATATATATATAAAGTAAAAAAGACCTCAAAGCCGCAACACACACACACACACACACACACACATACATATATATATATATATATATATATATATATATATATATATATATATAACGGGATTGACGTCTTTTTTACTGGTGTGGGATTTTAATTCGTCAACCAATTCATGTCGATGAGCGAGTGTGCATATATGT